GGGCGTTTTCGCATGCGTTTGGCCAATCAATGTCTACTTATGTCACGATTAGTACCAGTTGTGCTGTTAGACCCTGCTCCAGAGTAGGAGCTAATTTGGTTCTCGAAAAAGGCAGTCCGGTACTAAAAGCGCACCCAGTTCCGGCGGTGCGAAAACACCAAAAAGTGGGTAGTTCCACAATTAGTTCTGGTACTATGAAAAGGTTCCCGTGGTGCGAAAGGCCCTAAAGTGAACCCATGAACCAATTCTGGTTGCCCAGTTAATCATGTGACATGAAATCCCACGAAATTTTACTTTAAAAAAAATAAAGAATTCAGGGCCAGATGTTGTGAGTTAAACAAAAGATAACTTCCCTTTAACACATGGCTATATAGTTTAAAAAATATGTAAAAACATTCAGTACTTTCAACCTACAAATCACATCATACCTTAAAAATAACAAAATGAGCTTACGATAGAATTAAATCCACCTCCTTCTCCTGACTGATAACACTACTCTTGCCTGCTGGTTTTTATAGACAGCTCTAATGAAAACAACTAATTAAATAATTACATAAATCAATTTATTCATTAACTAATTTAATTTAGTTCATTGAGTGTTAAGGGTTTGATTATACTTAAATAAAACACATAACACAAACACTAATATTTAATACTATTTAAGTGTTTATTATTTATAAAAAAAAAGGTATTTCTAAAAAAACATTTCCATTTGTTTTATAAGTTTGGTCTGAGTTCTTGATGCTTTTACAACGTTTTCACCAGCAGGTGTCGCCAGCATGTGCTGTTTCAAGTGCTTCGAATCATCGAACCATTTTTCGAAGCAATTGGTTCAATTGATTCAATGCTTCGAAAAGCTTCGTTTCTCCCATCACTAGATTAAACCCACTGCCTGTCACTCAATAAAATAATTACACTGCTATGTGTTTTTAAAAGTTTAGTTTTTGTTTGGTTTAATATTTAACATTACCTTTGCGAGTATGACTCTCACTCGGCTTGAATATTAGCAGAACTTGTACAGGGACATTCTTAAATAACAGAAATAACTAGGGATGCACGATATTATCGGACTGATATCGGAATCGGCCGATAATGCATATAAATGTACATATCGGCATCGGCCAGATATGAAAAATTATGCCGATATGTCTTGCCGATAAGAGGAATAGGTTAACTCACATGTGCTTATACATATCATCTGTGTTGGCAATGAGGACATTATGGCAGTAGAAGAAGAGCAACCTAAGGAAGAAGTGGCTGGGGAGACTGTAAACGGAAGTAGTTGTCAGGGTAACAGGGTAGTTATCCTTTCAATCTATGGGTGTTTACATTTACATCAATTACATTTACAGTCATTTTAATCAAACGTATTATTTCTAACATTCAAATAGTTAATGATGGAAAATGTGTTTAGATGTGTATGGAAATTCACAATTTAACAGTAAGTATACTTTAAGCATAAAGTATACTTTAAGCATTGAAGTGCTATATTTTTAATGCAGAACAAAGTGCTACTAATGACATAGTAATAGTGTACTTAACTGTACTATTTAAAGACACCATAAACATGTAGTTAAGTACATCATATAAAGGGAATGCTAACATAATTACAATACAATTTAAATGAATGACTTAATCTATAAAAATATGTGGGCAATACATTATAAATACATTTTGTATATATTCATTATATATATTTTTATATTTTAAATAATAAGTGTATTTTTTATGTATGATGAGTATATTTAAGTGTATGAAAGATGGTTTTAAGTTTACTACAAGTGGTTAAAAGCACATTTCATATTCATGGTGTCCCAAAATAGCACAGGTGAGTACACTTGGATATTCTTAAGATTATCTTAAGAAGTACTAAAGAATAATTTTAGTATATTAAGTACAAAATAGAGCACTTTAAGTACATTATGGAGGTGTACTAAGTGTACTTAAAGTGTATTTTACTGCACTTTTTTCACCTAGGAACCAATTAACT